CTGCTGCTGCTGCTGCTGCTGCTGCTGCTGCTGCTGCTGCCACCGCTGCTACTGCTAAATATTTCTTCGCCCCCACCAACCAAAAGGATTGCTCTTGCTCGTATCCCCTCTATCCGGACTTTGTCGCGAGTAGCAGCCCGTGTAACAGAAACGTTCGTACGACCCCTCTACCCCTACCCCTCCCCTCTCCCCTATCCCACCCAACTCTACGCGCGCACGACGCGTGCATTCTACAACTCGCGTATTCAATATTGAGATGATTAGAATCATTCGACGACGTCACTCGTGTCACCGATTTATTTACTTTCGATATACACAAACTCGCGAACTCCTCCGCAGATCTGCAATGATCGTAATTTTTCATAATTGTTAATGTATATTAAAATTATACTTTCGATGTTGAATTGTCGCGTCGGATAGTCATCTTGTTAGTGGATTTCCTCACCAAGCCAATAAATAAATCAAACTAAGTAACGCAATCAATCAAGTCTATAAATTCAAAATTATAAAGGAATCAATCGATTCGTTCGTTGGCAAATTTGAAGCATTTTTGTTAATTATTTACAACATGAAGAAAAAAAAGGACCTTTCTTTATAATAGACTTTCTTTTAAAAACGAAGGAACTATAGTAGCTACAAAAGCTATAATTAATTGAAATTTAAATAAGCAACCCATTGAGTCTATCCTTCCCTAGGCTTCCCTTTCATCCTGCAAGAATGCAACAGGATAATAGAAGGAGAATTATATACGAAAGTTTGCACTTTATACGATTTATCGATAATATAATGCTTTCATGGCAAAACTCCAAGTTTATAATATATAATTTAAATTATATTTTAAAAAAAAAAATAGATGACGATTAATCTATGGTAGCTGATTAGTGAATGGAATACCAAGTAATTGAAAAACTTGTTAACATTAGCACCTCCTGAATTAATAATAATAATAATAATAATATTAGTATTAAGAAGATCATTGTCGGAAGATATTTTCGTCACGAAATTCGTATAAGCTTCGATTGATTTAACAAAGAAATATTATTATTATTATTGCCGTTGTTGTTGTTGTTGTTATTGTTAAATAATAAAAGGTAAACTATTTGTCACGTGAATTAGGGGCATTGATGTAAATGTGTTAGTAATTTTGATAAGCAACCCGCAGTGCTGTTGTGATTAACTATGAATGGACGCTGATAGCGGTAAAAGTGAACGGCGCCGCTTGAAAAATTGGTCGTAGATAAATTACGGTCAAGTTTCGCGCGCAAAATAAGAAAGAAGGATAAAAGCTTAAGAGCTTTTGATTGTTCGAGGTTCATAGTGCACATACCGGAGTTGGTAATCCGATAAATCAAATGCTCGACCTTGGTTCGACGCGGTGGATTGGGAGCCACGCGAGTTGTCGGGGGAAAAGAAAAAACCAGCCTGCGGCGAAGAAAAGTAAGAAAAGCCAGCGATCGTGAGTCGAGGGTACGGCTAGTGCTTCGAGGAAGGGCGAAGGGTGAGAGGAGGAGCAGGCGAGCCGCCACTGAGAACAGAGGGGAAACAGCACAGCGCCTGTATAATCAGGCGCTCGACACCGCGAATAGTGCGCGCATTCTTTCAGGCGTGTTTCGTCGGAACTGCTGCTGCTGCGCACTAGCGTGTTGCGCAGGTGCCGCCACCACCGCCGCCGCCACGGCCACCGCCACGGCCACCGCCACGGCCACCGCCACCGCCGTCGACACCGCCACTCGAATGACGTACCAACACCCGAGGACACGGGTCGTTTAGGCGGCTTCTTTCTTCGATCATTAAGAGCTGCCGACGAGTGCCCCGAGCCCTAGTTCTCCATCCCGCCGTCTCCGCTTTCTCGCGAGCCCCCCCCCACCACCACCACCACCACCACCACCACCACCACCACCACCACCACCACAACCGCCACCATCACCGCCACCATCACCAACGCTCTAGCTCGCTCTCATCCCCTTGCCCTCAACCCGCACCTTCGTCCCGCACCCTTGTCCTCGCCCTCACCCTCGTCGTCATCGTCTTCGTCTTCGTCTTCGTCTTCGTCTTCGTCGTTGTCTTCGTCGCCGTTGTCATCTTCGTCCTCGTCGTGAAAGACGCGCGCAGCGTGGCGGCAGCCGCTCTTTCTCGCTCGCTCGCTCTCTCTTTCTCTCTCTCTCTCTCTCTCTCTCTCTCTTATTCTTCCTCGCGCACACGTAAGCACACAAACTCACACACACACTCACTCACTCTGTTCCCCATACCCGTCCTCGTTCTCGTCCCCGTCCCCATCCCCATCCCCATTCCCATCCCCGTCTCCGTCCCCTTTCCAGTGCCCGTCCCCGTCACTGGGCTCGCTCCCCTTCCCCGGTGAAGGTCCGTGAGTGTGCCGAGGCAACCGGGAGCGCGAGCGCCTCAGTGCGCCTAGAGCCGCGGAAGGCATTGGATCTTGTGCGTTCGTTGGCGTCGCGTCATTCACGCACGCCGGAGAGACACACGCGCCTTCTTCTCTCTTCTCTCGCTTGTGCACGTGCGCGCACACGCGTTGCATAACGCTTTAGCTTCCGACTTTTCCTCCGCCGTAATGTCGACGATCCTGGCGACTTTAAGTGCGTCTCCGAATCAAGGGCGAGAGGAGGGAAGGAATCTGGCTGTCGGGCCGATTTTAAGAGACTGGATAATGTCTGTGCGGGAAAACAAGTGACCGAGATAGAGGATTGGAAAGTGTAAAAATGTGCGCGAGAAAATTGTCGATTGGGAGAAGGGTGCCGTCGTGGAAATACGAAGGTGAAACGGCGAGAAGCGACGGCACGAGGTATGTGGGAAGAAGAGCAAGACGACGCCGCTGCCGCTGCCGCCGCCACCGCCACCGCCGCCGCTCGATCGGCCGCCGGAAACGAGGCGCGCGCGATACATGTGTATGTATTGCCCCGCAGGTCGTGTGTGTGTTTGAGAACGGGGCGCGCGCGGCTGACGTCACGCTCTAGCTACCGAGTGTTTCCGTTGACTCGAGCACGAGGTTTTCTACTCCTGCTCAGTGAGTTTCTTCACCACTTATTCTTTATTTTATAACATGTTGCCACAGCTGGTCTCATCATCATCATCATCATCATCATCAGCATCATCATTATCGTAATTATCATCATCGTCGTGGTCGTCGTCGTCGTCGTCGTCGTCGTCGTCGTCGTCGTCGTCGTCGTCGTCGCCGTCGTCGTCGTCATCGTCGTCGTCTTCGTCTTCGTCTTCGTCTTCGTCATCGGAATCGTCATTATCATCGTCATCCTATTCGTCATCATACTCGTCGTCATTCTCGTCATACTCGTCGTAGTCGTCCGTCCGGTCGGTCTGTCGCCTGGTCGTCTTCGTCGTCGTCGTCGCCAACGCCAACGCCATCGCTATCGTCATCCTCATTGCTATTTATTTATTTGAACATCCCAAGTATATATTCTTTTCTCGCCTCCATTGCTGATTGGTCGAGGCGAAGTCGCGTCGCAAAAGATACGTCCAACAAATGTACGTGTACGCGCTGCGCAAAGTAGAAGGGGACCGATGCAGGCTAGTACGCGCCGAGAGATAAAGATAGAACGAGGGCGCGAGGGAGACTGTGTGTGCGAGCGCGAGAAGGTGAGAGGGAGGAGAAGCATCAAAGGAGTAACGAGTGGGTCGCTTTAACCGGTAATTGGACCATTCCTTATGCCATTGTGATAGTAATGGTCCTCGTAGCGTGGTCACGCTATTCCCCGCGCGTCCACATTCACGTCTCCACACGTTCGCGCGCACGCCCGCGTGCCTCTGCGTGTGTGTGCGCGGCTACGAGCGTTTACGGGGAGAGGAGGGTGCCGTTGGATGAGGGGCGTAGCATGAGGGGGGGGGGCGAATACGTAGCGGCATAGTACTATAGACTTCCGGCCTGCCGCCGCCCGCCGCCACCGCCACTACCACCGCTACCACCGCCGCCGGCGCCGCCGCAGGAAGTGAGACACACGTGTCCCGGGCATGTGTAAATCTCTCGCTCTCGCTTCGCCCTCCAAACGTGTATGCGTAATACTCGCGTCCCGCTTCGCGTACGCGTTTGTGTGCGAGCGTTGGTTTCTCCTCTCCTGCCACTTTCCCTTCCCCTTCTTTTCCTCTTTTTTTCCATAGCGCAAGCTATATATGTCTACTACGTAGTGCGCGCCTCTTTGGCTCTCTAGGCCGCGATACGTTACAACGCCTCTCTCTCTCTCTCTCTCTCTCTCTCTCTCATATCCCCCCTCCATCAATTCTCAACGCCCTACCCCATACCCACTATTCCTCCCTCCGTCACACCGATTCCACCGTATGTGGTGGTACGCTCGCGCGAGGGGTGCTCCCCCCCTGTCCCTCGGCCCCCCTCCTCATCATCGAATCGCCGAATTCGCTTGTCAGCTCCGGCCGGCCGCCTTCTTCGCCTGTGCTTTTATAGGTTAGGGATGATGAAATTTCGGCTCGAATTTATCGTAAGCCGGCTACGCACGCCGACGACTGTGCTCTTGCAGCTCTTACGCCGACGTAATTAGTCACACTGGATTCCTGGATGTATATGAAGTTTCGGCTCCTATCTGCTCGTTCGTAGCATCTCGCGTCCTAGGGGAAGCACTTTTTGCCGATACGCTGATAGAGAACAGACCATTTTTATTAACGGGATTTTCAGTTGATGCGATCAGTGCTTATCCGCTAAACGACCTCCACGATTATATTCCTAATATTAATTGAATGTAAGGTTTTTATAAAAATACATCCTCCCGATTCGCATACAGTTAAGCTTTTTGATACGAGATGTTTCCATATATTTCGCACATTTTTACAAGCATTCGCCTACAATGTAGATTAATACGTTCGTTTTGACACTTGTTGCGTGCAGTCAAAGACACGATATAAAATATTTTTTATTGCGCGCATGTATACACTGTACATTCGATTTGGCTTTTTTCTTCCCTACCCAACGACCCCACAATTGGCTACTAATAACAACGATTTTTACCAACATTAAAATTATATAACGTTTGTTCAAACTAAAAAAATGATTGAGAAAGTTTTTATTAAATATTATATGAATTCGAACTATTTTAATATCGTCTTGATCCGTACTATTTGACCATTTGCGTAGCAGATCAAATTGAAATTTAATAGCATTTCTTATCGACTTTGTCTGTTTCATTTAGACGCGGGCGCGCGCGAACACACACACACACACACACACACACACACACACAAAACATACACAAACTCACACAAATCACACGAATATAAAAGGAAAACTTAAGCTATTTAGCTTATCTTTTTTCTGAAACATTGTCAAGAAATATACGTAGTATATTTTATATTAAAATAAAAAATAAAAAATAAAAAAAAAATTGAATGAAAAGAAAAAGAGAGCTAGATAGTTGCTATTCGACAAAGGGTTAAAGACCTTGAGCATTAAATCAATACACGGCAAGACATCGTCTCCGTTACTCGCCTCTCATCCCTCCTCGTAAATGAAAAATAATATCCTGCTTTGCCTTCTCGCATCATCTTTTTTATTTTTCTGTCTCTACATTCTCATGACCGTATAATCCGGTATGTAGGAAAAGTCGGCGCAATACCTTTAAGTAAACATTGCGTCTTTCATATTATTATAATATCGCGTGCGTAGTTAATATCGCCTGCAAACAGTGCCTTCCAGCTAGATATGTAATAAATTCTTTTTCCGTTTCGAGTGTTTGGCTCATTACGAAATACACGATTTATAAATTACAAGACTGACTGAGAATAACGAATCAGCAAAGCGAATAAAAGTAATAGGACGTAAATATCCTAATTTGCCAATAGTTTATAAACGATGTGTCTAATAGAGTCCAACAATCGCCAACGGCCAATGACATTTTGCAGCCCATCAAGTATTATTAAGTATTTCTCGAATTTAAATAAACATAACTAATAGCCAATGAGCAGTTATTCGCATTAAATACATTCTTTTACAATTTGAGCGCGTATTAAATGTACTTATCACGGCTCGAGTGGGGAGCCCGAAGAGACTGTAGAGTCGCGTCGAAGCTTGGGAATTCAGCTCGCGGAATTTTGAGATTCGAGCGCGAGCGTGCGAGAAGGAGAGAGGGAGCGAGTAAAGAGCGAGCGCGTTCGCGTCATCGTCATCGTCCTAAGATGCCTCGACGGGGTGGGGTGGGGAGGGGGGGCTGCGCTCAGGGATGTCTTTTTTCCTTTCCCACGCGAGTGAGTGAGCGAGCGAGCTAGAGAGCCAGAAAGCCAGAACGAACGAACTAACAAACTAACGGACGGATGAACGAACGAACGAACGAACCAATGAACTAACGGATGGACGAACGAACGAAAGAACTAACCAACGAACCAACGAACCAACCAACCAACAACCAACCAACCAACCAACCAACCAACCAACCAACCAACCAACCAACCAACCAACCAACCAACCAACCAACCAACCAACCAACCAACCAACCAACCAACCAACCAACCAACCAACCAACCAAACAACCAACCAACCAACCTACCAACCTACCAACCTACCTACCTACCAACGAACCAACGAATGCGCGCGCGACTCATTATGAATGAATTTTCGGCCTCGGATTCAGTATTCCCCTGTCGCGCTTGACCAGTGGCTCTCAGTCCCGGTATTTGCATTCCATTTTTTTTTCTCGCTCCTACTACTACTCCTTTTCCTCCTCCTTTGCCACTACAACCGTCACCTTCTCCTCCTCCTCCTTCTCCTCCTCGCATTATACGTTTTTAGCGGATGTACGTACGCCGCGTGAGAATGCCTTTTCGTAGAATTTTATTTTCGTTGGCTAACGTTATTTTTTTTCTCTTCTCCGTTTCGTTTTCTTTTTCTTTCTGGTCCGGCCTCCATTCAATTCTACATTTTTCTAGGTTAATACGTTGCAGCTTTCCCATTGCCGCGATCATGATCGAATATTACGCAATTGTCTTCCTTCTTTCGAACTTGATATACAAAAATCAACATACCGCTCTTGAGTTAGACATAACATTCTTTTAGTCGGAGTAGAACGTACCTGGAATTGTGGAGTGCAAATTGTTTAGAATTGAAGCACGTTGATCGAGCCGTCGTTGCTAAAACAGATTTTTCAGTTGACTCGCGTCGATTTCCAAGATGAATTTAACGATTTTACGTCTTCTCCGATAATTTTGAATTTCATCTTAAAATGGGCGAATTTTTATTCAACCGCAAAATATAAATGAACATGGCAGTCGTCACATTTTCAAAATTTAACACATATATTAGGATTTACGGCACACGTCTCGTAGCCTCAATTCGTATAACAGCCAACGAATTCATTTCGAAAACCGACCTTACTTAATGTCAGGACCTTGTTAGATTAACCGTCGTTGTAATTGCAGAGATTAGAGACGTGTCTAGGAAATTTTGCACATTATCTGAGGTAGCCGCACTGATCGACAAAGAAGTCATATCGCAGGGGGTCGACATAACAGTCGAGCCGCCGCATTGGATCCCCCCCTCCTCCTCCTCATCCTTACCCTCCCTCGCCCTCCCACCACAACCAACTAACGTACCCCTGTACCCCACCTCCTTGTCTGCCCTCCTTATTTATCCGTGGTCGAGAAGGATGTGCGATTAAATAAAAAACGAATTGAGGTCGCGCCCCTTTCGGAATTAAAATGTTCCAGCGTAGTTTAGCGGAACTTGGAATGAGGACTGACTGCATTCTAGACTTAACAGAGGCCGACGGCGACGACGATTGCAACGACGGCAAGTCATGTCCAGGAATCTGGTCGCTCACGCTCACCGGATGCAATATCACGATAATCCCGTAAGCCGATGCCTTTTCCCTACTCTCCTTTTGCTCTCTTTCCAACCTTCATTTTCTCCATTCCTTTGTGTTCGACATTTCCCTACCTCCCTCCGATCCCTTCTCCCTCCCTCTCACTCTCTCCCCCTATCTATCTCTCTATCTCTCGTATCTCGCTTCTACATCTGTGCACCTTCTTTGAATAGATATATACAACCTTTGCTCT